GTTTCAAGACATTCTTTAACAATTTAACTTAGTTTTTAGATATTTATAGATTTATTAATATAAAGATTTTACATAGAGTACTTTAATAATTCAATATTAATGTTCGATTTTTGATAGAAATTTTATTTTAAATAAAAATAAATAATATTTGATCTCCTTTCGCAATGCAATAATTTTAACCAATGATTTACGGAATAAATTTAAAATATATTCATTTTTTTTTTTTATTCAATCAAAAGGAAAACGAATATAATAATTTTTTTTTTCGTGTGGAAAATCCTAAATGTTTATCAAAAAAAAAAAAATGTTATATTTGCATAAATTTATTTATTTTATTTATAAAGATCTTTATTCGTAAATTGATGTTTTGGCATTGATTAATATCCCAAAGAATATTTTTTAAAAAATAATAGCCAAGAAAACGAAATATCTTATTAGAATTTAATTTAATAAACTATTATCGTTTTTGCAAAATATCAAAGATTTTTTTAAAAAAAAAATTGATGGAGAATTTGCAAAAGCGTATCCTGCAACATGGATAAATGATAAATTGCATTGAATAATATATTGATAATTGAAAAATAAATGAGATCCTGACCTACGTATGTTGCTTTGAAAAGGTTAAATGGATGTCATTTAATGTATTCTGCCAGTTTTACCGTCGGAAACGTTGGGATAATTAATTTTCATTTCACATGTATTTTTAATTGTTATAAAGCTTCGATTTACCATCTCCGAGCCGAAGAACTCAAGGTGCTAACGTCAGCAACAAGATATATTAATGTTAGGGTGATGGTGATAGATAAACAGATCTCACAAACAAACCAAGCTATCCTTTCCTTTCATATCATATCATATAATAGTAATTATTGTCGATATGTTAAATCCAATTGAACTTAAAGAATAAATAAATATTCAGTAAAAATAAAAAATGTAAAATTCAAATGACTTAGATTTGTTACAATAAATTTTCAATTAACTTTATTTAAATTTTTCGAAAATTATAGAGCTTAGAGAAATTATCGGTTATAATACTATTTGGTATAATTTGTTTTAGTTTTTCTTACAAAAAATTTTAAGACGGTTAAAGATTTTTTTTCGAAAATTTTGGCTTGACTGGATTGTTATTTGTAATATAGAAAAATTCTATAGATTGATAAATGGACGTATATATTCGCCATTTTTTCATTTTATCTTGAAAAGAAAGTCTTCAAAAAATAAAGTTGAATCTTAAGAAAAAAAAAAAAAGTAATTGCCTCGAAAATATTTTTTTTTTGAAGCGCCCTTAACCTAGACGTTGGGTTTGGAAAGTGCTCAAATTATGCCTTGGAAGTAAAAAAAAAAATTCGCCTTGAAATTATTTAAAAAACTTAATAACCATTCAAGCTAGACTTATAAAAATTACTATGCAAATATTTCATAACTTATGAACGGCAATTCGCTGCTTAGTTTGACCAATCAATAAAACACGAAAACGCATTTGTTGTAATTATTTATAAAATTTTCACTTGAAACCTTGAACTGTAGTTTGAAGCTTTAGTGTAGTTGTTAAATAAAATAGTGTGAACCAATCAAATTTGGGAGGTTTAGGATATCTTTTTTTTTGTGTAACGAAAATAATTCCTATCGTAGCCTTTTTTTTTTTTAACGCTTACTTTCATCTATCCTAGTTTTTATATAAATAGGAAAAGTTGAAATAGTTATTTCATATTCTTTCTCAATGGTAACGCAGACAAATAAAAAAATTGATTGGTTAACAAAAAAATTTTATTTTAAGAAAATTTGTTAAAATAGTTTTAAAATAATGGTGTTTGTAAAAAATAATAAATTTTTCTTTAAGTTCCATCAAAACAAAAAGTTTTCTATTAAGATTTTATTTATCTAATTCCATCACTTCATAAAGTTAAAATTTCTGCTCTAGTTGTTTCTTCAACTGGATGACTTCTTCATGTTTACTTAGAAGCTTTAGAATATCTTGTTCAGTTAGTTCTGAATTTAAATCCTTCTTATAATTTTCCACTTCTTCAGAATCAGAATTACCATTATTTTGAATACTTTTCTTTTGTTCTTCCAAAAGTTGTTCTAACAAGGGCTTTCTTTTTCTACTAAGATCTTCCTTAATAGTATCAATTAACTCTTTCAATTCATTTTCCTTAGTTTGTATTTGGGGAAACAAATCTTTAATTGTTACTAATCGTCCTTTTAGTTCATTAACTTGTTGCTGCTTTTCTTCTTGGAGCTTATTAATTAGAGCTTCTTTATCTTCTAATTGAGTATTAAGATTAGCAAGATTTTCTTGAAAACGTTTTTCTTCTTCCCGATGACTTTCTATTTCATTTTCAATTTGATCCTTTTCATCTTGGAGTTTTTCCAAATCCTTCTTGGCCTTATTAAGATTATTCTTTAATTTCTTCATCCCCTCTAGTTGTCTTGATAGTTCCATTTTTTTCGAATCTATATCATTTTTAAAGCTTGTTAATTGCTTTCTCAAATGAGCAGTACTACATTTGCTTCCGATTACTTTATTATTCAAATCTTTTCTAAGTTGGTTTGACTCTTCTTTTTTGGCATTAAGAGCGACCATTTTTATTTTAATTTCATTTAGCTTGCCTTCTAATTCCTCAATCTCTTCTTTTTTATTTTTCAGTTTAAAGTTATTCTTATTTATTTCGTTTACTTTGTTCATTTTTTCCTTTCCTTTGACAGTTAAATCGTCTTTTAGAGCTTTTATTTGTTCCAGTAACCTTACTTTATCCATTTCTTGTACGGACTTGAAGGATTTTAACTTACTTTCCATTTCGTTGATTCCTTTCTCTCTTTCCTGATAAATGGCATTCATTCGTTCCAAGTCGACCGTTAACGTTTCGACTTGTTGAGTCAAATTTCTTACTTCTTGTTCGAGCCGAGATTTTTCCAACCTTAACTCTTCTTGCCTAGCAAGAAGATCATTTTTTTCATTTTCCAATTCTTCCTGTTGAAACGTTAAGTATTCTTTTTCATCTGATGCTAGCTCTTCCATTTGACTCTGGTAAGAAGTGATTTGCTTTTGGAGATTTTCCTTTTCCGTCTCCAAATTCCAGTTTCTTTTCCACACTTTTAAATTATATTTACCCTGATATACATCCTTAGCATCAGTAACAAAGTTTTCAAGTTGCATATATAAATTTTTAACTTTGGCATTCGGTCTTTCCGCCAAACATTGTAAAATTTTAACACTATTTGGTAAATATTCCAATCCAGAGTCAATATCAGTATTATTGATATTTAAACTTTCCAATTTAGTTAATCCTTTTAAAGGTTCTAAACTACCATGAAAACGATTATAAACATCACCCTCCCTATCATCAATGTTTCCAATATGCAGCTCTTTCAAGTTAACAAATCCGCTAAAGAAAGTTAAATCTTGTTCAGGAAAGTTATTGTCAAGCAAATTTAAATATTCTAGACTTTCACTATTCACAGATATTCTACAGAGTCGATTGTGATTAGCATTAAGGTAAGCAAGTTTTGGGCAACCACTTACATCCAAGTAGGTTAAATTACTATTGGAACAATCTAATTCTTTCAAGTTGCTGAACTTTAATATTAGGGGACCTGTGTGATTCAAATTGCTATAGTCTAACTTGATAATTTGCTGTTTAATATCCGTTTCCTGTGTAATATCCATTCTTATAAGATTGACTAGTTTTTGTGAAGAATTATCTAAAGAAAAAAGAATATAAAATATTAATACGCGGCGCATTAACGAATAAATTGAAAGGTTCACGAACCTTTATCGTGTTATTAAAACCAATAACTAACCTTTATTATGAAAAGATATATTCGAGCGGAAAAAAATTCGCAACTTGGTTGAATTATAAAAAAAAAAAAAAAAATGAGCGATGAACGTCCGCTTTAAATATTTAAATTTAACAAATAAATCATTAAATATGCCATTTCCGTTCCCTTTCATTCCGCGACTAAAAAGGTTTTATTGAGAAAGGAATTCATTCCGTTTTAAAATTTTTAAATCTTTTTTTTTTTTTTTCTTGGACGACGGTCTGGTTAATCCTTTGATAATTAACTTTATTTGATATGCTGCATTGCTTATCTATGCAACCGTTCACTTTTAAAATTTGCTGTTATTCCGATTCCAATTTTGATGATTATATAATATCCTAAAAAAAAAAAATTTGATCATTGATGTTACATTACCTAAACCGTCTCTAAATAAGAGTCATTGTTCTCGTAATGTGGCTTTTTTTTTTTTTTTTTTTTTTTTTTTTTGATAATGTGGAGTTCATTAATTCATTTTAACCTATTTTTTAGTAAAATGTGATGACAACATGCATGATCAACGCACATGTAATATTTAAAAGTGAAAAGTAAAGATTTCCTGATTAGAAGAAAAGAAAGAAAAAAAAATATAGGACTTGTAATTCCGTTTTGTGTATATGTTGACTCTTTGTGAAAAAACTATGAGACGACCATATGCGGAAATACTTTGAATGAGAGAAACCTAAAGCTTATGCAAAAAAAAAATCTTCAGTTTTTTTTTTTAAATTGTTCCAAGTGAGCATTCATTGAAAATTAGAATTCCCCCGTTGATTTGTCATGTTCACATCTTTTTTTCTCTCACGTTTCTATATTTCTGGTAATGATTTCGCAAAAAAAAAAAAAAAAAAAAATAATTTTATAACGATTTCCATCTCCGACAACAATTTTGTATTACATGCAAAAAAAAAAATCTTTTTTCCTTTCATCAGTTTTTTTTTTTTTTTAAAATTGTTCCAAGTGAGCATTCATTGAAAATTAGATTTTCCCATGTTCACATCTTTTTTCTCTCAGGTTTCTATATTTCTGGTAATGATTTCGCAAAAAAAAAAAAAAAAAAAAAAAAAATTATAACGACAATTTTGTATTACAAAGCCGCACAAACCAAACCAAAAATTTCATGTCGGTAAATTCATTCCGAAACTTTTACAATTTGACGGAAAAAGCAAGAAATGAATGATACAAGGTTTGGCGTTTGCCTCTCGAGTTTAGCATCGTGTAACGTCCCATTATTTCTTATAATGATAGTGCGACGTTTTGATGAATGAATACATTTTAATAAAAAAATTAATTGTTAAAAGTATCAATGTGAATACGTTATATAAACCGTTCATCGTCTATCTGTTAAAATTTTTACAAAATTAATTTCAATCTAACGCTTACAAAATCCTTTTTTTTTTTATTACGAAATTTATTCACCTTAAATCATTTGCTATTATAATTCGAATTCCTTTTTTTTTTCTCAGGATTTATTTTGTTTAACGCCTTATTTTCTTCCTCGCTTGACGATAACCTATCCTTGAAATTTACAACTGCTTCATAGCTCAACATTACGGGCCTGCTCCTCCTTAACGATTAATCAAATCTTGACATTGTCATTGTTTATTTAAAGGTTCGTAGCATTAATGATTTTCAATGCACGTCAACTGCCTGCGTCGCTGACATTTATTTATGCAAAATCTTTTTTTTTTTTTTTTTTTTATGCTAGCTATTATAGGTTACATACATAAAACGTTCTGTATCCATTTATCGATCGACCAATAAAGTTATACAAGAATGAGCACACGATGGTTAGAGGAGGAGTATCCCAAGGGCAAAAGAGAACATATTGTCAAATTGGAAATTAGTGACAAGAAATTAAATGGTGCCTTAAAATTGGATGGTTTCATTAAGTTGGAAGAATTACATTGTTCCAATAATGAGTTAACTAGTTTAGACGTGAGCAATTGCTCAAAGCTTACCTACCTCGATGTTAATTACAATCAAATACGTGATTTAATCCTTCCTAAAAATGAAGTAGGGTTAAAATATTTAAACTTGCTCAACAATAACTTACCTGAACAGGATTTAAATCTCTTTGGCAAATTTATTAATTTAAAAGAGTTGCATATAGGCACCATTGGAGATGATAGTGAGGTTTACAATCATTTTCATGGTAGCTTGGAACCTTTGAAATTTTTAACGAAATTGGAAATGTTAAGCATCAATAATACTGATATTGACTCTGGTTTGGAATATTTACCGATTAGTGTTAAAATTTTACGATGTTTAGCTGACAGACCGAATGCAAAAGTTAAAATTATAAATATGCAACTTGAGAAGTTTGCTATTGATAAGGTGGATGCTTTTCAGGGTAGATACAATTTGAAAGCGTGGAGAGATTACCAGAGGATAGAAATAGAAAAGGAAATCCTTCAAGAGCAATTGGATAATTTAATTAAGGAGCTAACATCAAATCAAGAAGAACACCTATATATTCAACAAATAGAATTGGAAGCTAAGCAAGAAGAGTTGAAAGCAAAAAAATTTCAGTTAGATCGAGAAGTTACAATTCTTAAACAGCAAGTCGACGCTTTAAAAGCTGACATAAAGCAGAAAGAAAACGAGTTAAAAAATTTAACTGCGCAGAAATTAACAGAAAAGTTGCAGAAAGAAGAAAATGATAGAAAAAGAAACCTAGATCTAATAAGAGAAGCCAAGGTAGAATTGGAGAACAAATTGGGAGTAGTCGATAAAGAATTGAGAAATAAAAACGATGTCATCGTAGATTTGGAAAACCAAAGATTACAAATCATCTCCGAAATAGACAGTATTAAAATTGAGAAAGAAAATTTAAAGCGTCTCAATGAAGGGTTAAAAATTTGTGGAGGAAAGTTCAGCGTGGATTTAGGAAATCATTTGAAGAAATTGAAAGAAGGATTAAGTTCAAAGGGATTACAAAAGAAAGTAAAGCAAAAAAATGATGAACTTGAAAAGGTCAGAAAAAATGGGAGAAATCTCCAAAAGGAAAAAGATTCTTTGATAATTACAATAAACAAACTTCAAAAGGAATTATCAAGCACTGAAAAAACCCTTGGTAATGAAAGTCCTCGGGAAAAAGAACTAGAAGAGAAATTAGGAGAAATAATTCGTTCAGTTCCTCAAATAGTAACTAAAAAAATTGAATTAAAAGAATCAATTAATATTATTAGGGAAGATCTTAGTAAAAAAAGGAAGCCTTTGTTAGAGGAACTTTTGAAAGAAGTTAATGGTGGTTCCACTTCTGAAAAACTGGAAAGTATCAAAAAAGACCTGTGTACAGAATTACCTGAAAATGTTATCCAAGATCTTCTAAATAAGCAAGTGGAAGTCAATCGGTTATGGTATCATTGGAAACCCAAGGAATAAATTGTTCGAGACTATAACAAACTTAAAGACAAAGTAATTCCTAATAATGTTTGTTAAAAATAATTTTTAGTGTATATTTTAGCGTAGCTATTGTCAGTTTGTAATCACTTAACAACTTTTTGAATAAAGCAATTTTATAATAAAATATATTAATTTTGTAACCTGACTAATTAGTTAATAATGAAGAAACACATAATAACCTTGCCTTGTTTTAATTACCAACAAGATTTATTATTGCAAAAGTTTCTATTAAAGTTTCTATTACTAATTCTGGCCCGACACAATCTCGGTGATCGGTCAAAAGCTTCAAATGTAATTTTTGGTTTAGTGCTAAATTAGGTTTAGACATTTCCGACCTAATTCTATGGCATACGAATAAAAAAGAAATATTAAACCTGAGAATAAAAAAAAATTTTTTTTTTTTATCTTTCTATTAGAATAACAGCTTCGATTAGATATTCGAGTAACAGCTATGGATGATTTAATTTTTCTAGTATTAGATAGGTTTTTTTTTCTTTCATTCTTTTTTTACATATTTTTTTTTCGTGGCAAATGAACACTTTAATAATTAATCATTAATTTTTTTTTATCAATTAATGTTTAAATCAGTTACTTCAATAAAAAAAAAAAAATGGTTTAAAATAAAGTTTTATTCATTGACTTTTCATTGCTTGACAAACGTCTTAATGTTAATTAGGTCAGCTATATTTACAAAGTCTACACTTTGTTACACAAATGGAATTCTTCAGGTTTATGTTTATATAAATAAAGTGCTTTGATTTTGAATAACATATTTTATGTAGGCACCAACAAATATTCATTCCTTATGACTCTGATGATCACACCTTTATTCACCCAAGAAAACGACGTCACTCCAAGATCTGGCAACGTTTGGCAAAAAAAAAAAAAATGAAATAGAAATAGAAGAGATGGACTGACTCGCCCATAAGCTAGAAACCTAACATTTTTTAATTTGATAAGGGAATATAAGTTGAGGAAAAATACAACAGAAAATCAATAACAAACAAGCGACAAATTCAAGATTGAAAGCGATACAGATGTTGGATTGGAGCTCGAGTTTTGTCCTAAACGACGAAAAATTCAGTTAATGCAGAATTTGGTACCCTGGACGTAATACAAGTCCCAAAAATCACCTTGTCGTCTTTACCGCGCACAATATTGCCTTTGCAAAGAAACCAATAATTGATCAAATGTGCGGTATTGGTAAAACTTAAATTTCTTTTATAGATATCGCTTATGAACATATACAGTGTGGCATAAGAAAAAAACCGGAAATTTTCTGCGAAACGAAACTGCGCATAACCTTGTTAAATTAACATGATTGTTAGGTAAGCGAGTATATTGTTCATTTTATACCACTAACAATATAATGATTTTTTAATTTTTTTCCTATCACTATCTTTAATCCCCTAAATATCAATTAGAAAAATGACCTTCAGAATATAAACCAACCGTCAAGCTATTCAACATTATGGAATCAGGGCATTCGGAACAATTTACACCTCTCCACCATATATGATAAACTAAAAATATTAAACAATCTGGGCGGTTCAGCGTGCAGAAGGAAGTGGTCGGCAAAAAAAGATCCCGGCAAATGCATTAAGAGAATTAGCCAATACATCCACCGGGACTCTTTCATTCCACGACTTTATCAACAAAGTTGTCTTCAGCAGATGTGGAAGTATCCCATAGAACGATATGAAGACATTTGACTAATAGTGGATATTGAAAAGCCTTCCAAGAGCGACGCCAATACCATATGAGGATCACGTGTAAAGTGGACCAAAAACTATCTTAATGATGAAATGGGACAATACTCTATTTTCAGATAAAACCGCCTTTCAACACTTCCGAAATACCCTGGAGCGTTGGTATAAAGGATAACGACCACCCAACCGTCCTATGCCTAAAGATAGAACAAAGATTTTTACTTGGGGAGGATTTATATAGACATACTTTGTAGACAACTTCCAGAATTTGAGGACTTGTTAGGAGACAAATGGCGGTTTAAGCAAGATGACGATCTGAAGAATGCCGGCCGCCACGTTAAAAAATTTCTTCAGGCAAATATGCCTGAAGTTATTGATTAGAATTCGAACAGCCCTGACCTAAATCTTATAGAAAATCTTTGGAGCATCGTTAAGAGAAATGTGAAAAAAAAAATTGGTGATTTGCGCGCCAATATGAGTGGGATGATATTCCAACAATCGACCCTAATTGGGTTAGTGATCGGCATTTTCATGCTTAATTGGTGTAGTTTGCAATTTGAGAAATTTCATAATTCCCTTTTTCTTGTACCACATGTAAATACGAGATCATTTTTTCTCAATCAGCTATATAAAAAGAATACAAATTTAAAAGTGTGATGAATCGATGGTCAAGGAATAATCTTATTTGCTCAGTTGGGTCACTTCACGTAGTTATCAAAATTATCTTTCTGATTTCTTCATTAGTGAATCTTCAACATATGATAGCGCTGTGGGCTTCAGCTGAAATACAGAGATGTCGTCCATAAGAGGTACCGGATAATTCGATTCTTGAACTGCGTGTGATATCATTGATAATCATGCATTGATAGGTTAGCTCTTTTTTCTCGAATTTTCTTATAAACGAGCAAGGGAATGATTAAATTGATTAAATCTAATTGTTTGATATCTGATAAATCTTCCGTATAGACATTTCCATCCGTTGATACTGATTTTCGTGATGCGATCATACTTACATAATTTTCAAAGGGCAATCGATTCTTGAATAAAATATAATAAAATCCTAAGTTTCACAGGCTAGTCATTTTATGTTAAAAAAGAAAGAAATATAATAATAAAAATAAAACGAAAAATTGAAACATATCTTTAATTCATCGCACAACGTCATCGTTCAAACGATCGAGTATCTCCTACAAAAATAATAGCAATGAATGTCGGTTTAATGCTCAGTTAGATACTGGAAGAATATCAACATAATTCCATTAGAATTTTTCAGACTTTATAATATACAAAGATAAAGCGATCATATTACCTTTCTTTGTTCTTTGCACAATTGATTTCGACGAGAAAATCGGGATCGTCACGTGTATCGCTACGACTATCACCTGAATGGAATTGTAACCATGCAAGTTAATAATAAAGCTGTGTGAGAAACAAATGATTTATGCGAAACCAAGTCAAATATTTTAAAAGTTTTCTCAACTGTCAAATCAAATTTAACCGATTATATTTTGAGCAAACATTTTAATCTTTATAGATTTTTATCGGCACCATTTTGTTTGCAATTGAAGCTTTATACATTTTCTCAAAGTCGGGAATCCATAGCTCTTAAAATTTTTTTTTTCCCACAGGATTTTCAAAGTGTATTTTTGTTTTTAATAACTCCTCACCTTTATCGTTTAATAGTTGTAATTTACCGTGGCTTTGAACTTGGATTATAAAAATCGCGAAAAACGCAACATCTTGAAGTTTCATCTTTTATTATTTATGTAATACTGGTTTTATTGTTTTTTTCTTGTTTGCCTTTGGGAAATGTATTATACACAACTTATCAATCTTTTTTGCGCCATATAATTCGACTTCCATTATAAAAATGGTCATATCATTGATTAATCTAATTTCTTCAAGTTTCTCTTTTTTACTATTGTACATCACTTTCAACCTTTTTTTATTTTAGGCAAGAAATATGAATAAGAAATTGTAATTTTGTGGTACTTATATTTCTCTAACAAATCGTTTAAGAATGAGCTCACAATAATTATTTTACCTAGTCTGAATATATACCATAAATATAGTCCAAACGCATCATCTGCCTTACGTTTCTTTTATTTTCTTGTAACATTGGACCAGATTTTGGGCGAAACCGATAACCACGTTTAACAAATTTCCTTCCATATTCATAGAAGCTCTTCGAGGGCGTAATCCACACGTCTAGAGATTTCTTCGTCAATAATTTCAAGCTGGGTTTCCAAGGTAAGATCGTTTTTGGTTATACTCTTGACAATAGCGAATGACGAAAATAATCACAATGCGCTGCTTCATTGCTGTCAGTAAGAATACTCCCCATGTTCCCAACCTCCGCTTTATTTCCCTTACACATGGTAGTAATTCTTCGTCATCGTCTTCGAGTGGATATGTTTCTTAGAAAGTGGAACGAAAGGAGTTAATCAACTAACATAATAGTTCGTGGTTAATAATTAAAGACTCACTTGGTGGAAATTCTGATTGTGCCTACCTCTTTCAAATCTTTCTGGGTCTTGTAAGAGGAGAACGAACGCTTCTTTTTTCCTTGCACTCCTTGAAGAAGTCCGCAAGTCTGATGAAGGTCCATCCGGTATTCCATAACTGCGAAGCTTTACTTCAGTTAACCTTGAGAAAGTCGCGTCCATTAACTTCTTAATTTTCTAAAATTTCGAAAATTTCTCACCAAGATCCGTTAAATTACAAAACATTATGTTATTACCTTTAATTAACCATTATAAATTATAGTAACGCCGCAGAAAATGTCACGTTCACGTGACTTTTATGCCTATCAATTCTAATCGTTTACGAAAAATCGCAGTTACGAAATAATTTAAAATTTTTTTTTTCCCAGCTTCCGACACAATTTCGGCTATATTTTAGATTCATCATGAAATTCCACAATATCAATAAAACAAGATACTTCGAAATCATTATTACTGTTTGGGTGTGTATTTTCTTTAAATTTTGTTATATTAATTCAATTTTCTCATATTTGTCTTTTTTGATTAGTCGATAATGTTGCACGACGGTTTTTATTAGATAGTCTGTAAGCGTTACGCATTTTTCTTCCATTAAAAATTCAAGAGTATGTGTTTTTAAACACCCGGAACATGTTTTTAAAGCAATATTTTCGGTGTTAGCATTATTTAAATACATTTTTTTTTGTTAAACTAAAAACAAAATGGATAAAAAAAAGAGACATAATGACTATAGTTAAATTTTGTCTTTTAGAAATAATCAGTATAAAAGTCACATGAACATGACATTTTTCTGCGGCGTTACTGGAGTTCACCACATGCTTTTTTACTTGCTTAAAAATCCAGACTCGTGACAGATGTCGTAATAATTACGTACTCTATTCATACGAGTCTATCATGATGATGTATTTAGAAAGGTTATAAAAGAGTATAAATATTTACGAGGTCTGTCATCAAAAGTTCTTTAACTGCTTACTTTTATAAATTACCTTAGTCGTCTTTATATTCTTTCCCTTCATTTAATCCTTCGCGAGTGTCACTTGTCATCAAAATGTCTATGTCTACTGCTGGTAAGTTTTTACTTCTTTTGAGGAGCATTCCTTCCTTCCTTCCTTCCGGTCCTTCCTTCCTTCCTTCCTTCCTTCCTTCTTTCCTTCCTTCTTTCCTTCCTTCTTTCCTTCTTTCCTTCTTTCCTTCCTTCTTTCCTTCTTTCCTTCCTTCCTTCCTTCCTTCCTTCCTTCTTTCCTTCCTTCCTTCCTTCCTTCCTTCCTTCTTTCCTTCCTTCCTTCCTTCTATCCTTTCCTTCCTTCCTTCCTTCCTTCCCTCCTTCTCTCCTTCCTTCCCTCCTTCCTTCCTTCACTCCTTCACTTGCTTACTCTCGATACTTATTTATTTACAGCAATTACATGCAACGGATGTGGTAAAGACTCGATGATCGTGTATTTTCGCGGAAATAGGCACGGTTACCAAATGACGCAAGATGGTATTTTATTTAATGTTGTTATTGAGTATTATTACTTTAATGATTCATCTATATGATAACTTTTGCTGTCCTTTTTTCACACTCTTTACCAAGTTAAACGGAGAATCAGATAGTAAAATAACTCATAACAAAGGAGGGATAAAGGTTAGTCTTTACTTAAACAAAGAATCCGCTTTTTAACAGCTTCTAACTCTTATATCAACATTGACTGCCCATCCTGAAATCTTGCTTGGATCAATTTTTCAACAAAAAAACGAAGAGATGCTTCATAAAACCGACAGAAACGAATATTTTTTCGATCGGGACGGAAAAGTGTTTCGCTATATTACCGCAATAATTACACGGCCACAAATGATAATTATACTTTGGCCGTGGATTTGTAACAGCAAAAGTTTAATTATCTGAACCGGATAATTATAACGTAACTTCACGGGTAATCGCCGATACTATGAGCAATGCATTGATTGGTAGATTTTGCCACTTCGTGGCAAAATATCCATCATGCATTGCTTACCGTGAAGTAATCTCTAATATCCCGTGAAGTTACTATCAACAACAAAATATACTGTTCAGGATTTAATCAAGAAATTTCGAATGAAGAACCTATTAATAGCAAGAATAGCAAGAATGAGAACGAAATCAAAGTTATTTTTCACGTTTATTTTCCTGAAAGTACTGCTAAAATTGGACATCCCGTAATTTTTGGTGACGGAAAAGCGTTGGTTATCCCAATATAACCCTTCGACAACCATTTCCTCAAATTCCTACGAATTGGCAATCTATTCCAGTTAATATTTCTATATCAAATATTACTGAAGGGCATGCTTTTCAATGTAGATATGTTATTCATATAATGGAAGGAAAATTTGTATTCGAAGGTGATCCTAATGATAATCGAATTTTGGATACTGCGAGAAATGATCAATTCGGAATATGGAAGAATAATCTAAATAATCAAGCTTTGTGTATATCCTCGGAGAAAATCAAAGACTTCGCTTTTGTTAATTTTATTTTTAATTTATCAATGCTGATAACTTTAAAGATAAAGTTATACAATTTCAACAGTAATTATCTGATCCGAAGATCTAACGATTCGTGCGTCAAATCTCAAATTTATTATCAATCGTCTTGATGATGAATCACGGGTCAAACGACTTTTTTTTATCTCCTCTTAGTATATCATTTTCAAAGACAAACCTTACCTTACGAATTACCAAATGAATTTCCATCCGAATTATTACTTGATGCACTAGAGGGATATAAACAAGATACTTTACCTCAAGGCACCAGAGATCAAATATGTGTTGCCATTACAACTTTAGTACACCATAATGCTTTTCAGATGCATTTCAATTGGCTAAAGGTTTTTACAATCGCTGCAAAAGTCGACCCTAATTATACATTTTTTGATCAATCCTAATGATGGTTATTAGCAAAGCTTGTTAAAAGTGCCGAAATTATTAGGCCTTATATCGATTGGCATCGATTTTGAAGCTTACGTTAAACTTGCCAGGGTAAAATTTTTTTTAATTCTTATTATTATAATTATCATTGTTTTATTATTTAATTTTTTTTTTTTTTAAAAAAAATATGTCATAACATGGAAGGACTTTCTCACCTTGGAGTGAAGTTCTTTTGCATAATGCCGAGTTTGATAGAAATATTTTCAAGTGCTTTGCTAACCGAGTTCAAGAGAATATTTCCAGCTATTGCTTTAGCCGCTCATTTTAAGGGACTACCTCAAAGTTGTCGAAGTGAAGGTTCTGTCGTTTTCCGGGTCATTCTTTATTATTATTACTTATAAGTCCAAGCAGCAAATGGACGGATCAAAATATATTCGCTCGCTATACGAAAACTTCTTAAAGATGTTAATCTAAACTGCGACGTCATACTTGGCATTAAAGTTGATAACCAAATCCAATGACTTTGTATCTTTCCACAACTTTGAATGGGTGGTTTCGCAAGGACTTTTCTGATCCTAAAAAAAGGATACCGAATATTTGTGTGAATTGGTTTACGCTTTTTTTTGATCAAATTGAGTACAAATGAGAATGCCTTCGTTTTTTTGGTATTCCAACAATTAGATCTTATGTATCCTTTGCTTAGCCAGAGGAATAATATTTGGCGTAATTTCCATCAAGAGAGTAAAGAATTGCTCAGAAGCTTAAATCTTTGCCGCAACAAAATTAATAGTGCATTTAAAACGTGACGAGTTCAAAAGTTGATCAAAAAAGTATTAAGCAAGTCAGTTCAAAATATTAATGATCAATTAATAGATGAATTATTTGTAATTTGTAATTGTGTTGACAAGACCAAACCTCTACATGTTACATAGGTCGAGAATCGTGATATGAAGTTCCACTGGTGAGAAATTCGTTACTAGTGTAATTATGATCAATAATTTATTGCACCTGGTTCTCAACAAATTTTCAATCTATTTAGCAGGAGTAATAGATGTAGAAATACACTAGAAAAAACCCATTTGATTTTACTTTTGAATTTCGACATTTCGGTTAATGTCTTTAAACCACACTATTAAGCTTTCATTTCAAATATAAGGCCTAAACTATGGCATAAAATTGGATGATTTACATAAATATTTCATTGTGGATGAACCTTTAATTATTCCTTAGTACTTTGACGATACTGTCTTACATAAAATTATTTACATGACATACATATTTATATGGTTAAAGTTAAATTTTAATTAAACTAACAATTGAGAAAATCTGATATGAAACTAAAAATTTTACAGACACACCGTCGCTAAACGGAATGTCTAACACATTTAGATTGATATCTTGTCAAAAATTACAAATGTCAGCATTAGATTTAAGTGACAAGTTGTCACTAAAGTTATTAGAATTTCCAAGTTTTTATTTAATGAACGTGAACTTTAGTTTATAATAGTGTTTCGGGCGAAACCGAAACTAAACTTTTGGCGAAACTTCCGAAACCTGGCGAAACTTGTTTCGCCATCAGTGCAAAATCCAT